TTGTTCGGGACAAAATAAAAAGAAAAATGAATTTGTGGACATGAAAGAAACTCTGATATCAGTTTGAGAGATGTATACATGTTTCACCGCCCTTAATGCTAGTATAAAAATGCCAGCTTTATCAGCTGCATACGATAAGGAATAAATTCCCTAAAAAGAGCAATCACAAACTATATAGCCCATCATAGAAATAACAAAAAAGATACAATCTTTGAGCTTAATCAAAGAAAATCAAGGGATATTGGTAATGTTGCAGGCTTGAAAGCTACTAACTGAAAATGAGGGTAATAAGATAGCTTTTAGATCACTTGAACTCTCAAACATCAAAATACAGAGAAACCAAGACTTTTTAGATTCACGATAGAACTAAAAACCATTACTTTGTGGGAAAGAATTGAGGAGACTGGACTACGTCAGCAGATGAACAGGCACCTCACCTTTGAGTCAAGAAAAAGCATCAATTTTTCTAATTTTCTTTCAAACCAACATGAATTAGGAAACGGTGAGGGAAATTTGGAGAGCTGAGGCAAAAGAGGTAATACCTGTATTGGAGACGTTCAGGTGTTGGCATCGCCGTCAACCGGGCGGGGCTCTCAGCAGAAGCGGCGAAAAACTGAATAGTTAGGATTTCGTTACTGCCACACAGAAGGTGCGAGGAGGAGGAGGAGAGGGAGCGAAGGAATGGAAGAGTGAACTAAAAAATTTCAAAATATTACAAAAATAACCCTCAACTTTTAATATTTTGCAAAACAACCTCAACTTGTAATCTGGATGGTGGATACGTGTATACTCTAAAATTTGAAATTTATTATTGAACCATCCCATGCAAGTCCGAAATGATTAATGGCTTTCTTTGCTATTGGTCATTAACCTATTGGATGCAATCATGGAAATACTCAGATGCAGCTGCTGATAAAAGGATCTCCCTCCCGACGGCTCTAGTCTTCTAGATGGAATATAAGGGCACAGATTGCCTCCAAATTTGATACATGTTAAAATTTTTGATAGATTCAAAATGAATACAGCAAAATCAAGATGAGACAATAATGACGGGATTGGAATATTGAAAGCATAGGCTGGTCATCTTTTGTGGCAAGGGCATGGAATATCTACCTCCTAATCCTAGTCCTAATCCTAATTCCTAACAGGAGGAAGCCAGCTTATAAGTAATATCTAGGGCAAAAAGTCCTAGTGGCCCTCAAATTATTAGCCGGATAAATTTTTAGCCCCCAAATAATTAAAAGTAAACTTTTGGCTTCTAATCTATCCAAAGTACAAAATGTTAAACCTTCTGTTAAAATCAGCAGTTAATACCGACGGAATCTACAACCATGTGAGACGTAAGTTGAAATACGAAGGGCATTTTTATCCGCAATGAGCTGTGTTCCACTCGGTAAAATGGGATTGCTTCCCGAACTTGAACAAAGAAAAACTCCATTGCAGCCAAAGAAGTTGCTGAACTGGAAGCATGCGAGAAGCCAACAATCAGCCTTTCCCATTGTACAGGTGTGAGAAAATGTTCAAGATCATAACTTCGTGGACCTCAAGAAATCTTGGGCAGAGATTTGCGGTGTACGTGGATGGTAGCTGCAGATTTTAGCCGTGGATTGACAAGGACATGTGCAGCCGGTCAACAGAGATCATACCTGGGCTGCTGAAAAGAATTAATGTAGCTGAACGGCTAGCAGATGCATATGAAGAAGAAGTAAGAAGACAAGAAAGGAAAGTCGCTACAAAATGGAGATTTGCACGGATGGGTGATTGATTGTCTCTCAGTAGGCCCCCACTTCCCAAAGTGCAACAGAGTCGACCAACAGACCATTTCTTTGCTCTACTGCTACTATAACTGTATCTCTCAAAACAAAACAAAATTCACTACCGCCACCGACCGCACCCGCTCTCTCTCATTGGGCAAAATAGTAGATTGCAGCCACCAAAATTTTATCATCCCTATGAAGAACCAGTAGCAAGGCTTGCTTCTTCTTCAGAATGGCCACAGCAGCAGCTCCAACAATAACATAAGGGCCCCCACCAATATAGCCACCACATTCTCCAGGCCACCTTGAACCACCACAGGATTTTCTTCAATGATGATGATGATGATGAGAGGCAGGAGCATGAGGATGATTGTGGCCGTGGCCCATCACTCCCAGTAGGCCAAGAATGTCTATTCTCAAGGCCCTTCATGATTCTTGATTTGATATGAAACTTGGGGTTTGTGTTGGTAGCTGCCTTTGTGCTTTTGACTACCATCACCGAGAGACCCACCACCCCTTTTAAGGCTTTGGATCGGTGGCTATGCTCTGCAATGCCTTTTGCATGTGGACTTTGTTTGGCTTCACTCTCAAAGCAGACATTTTTATATTCATCATTTCCATGGTGCTAGGAGTGGGGAAGTTGCAGTAGTAGCTGATAATGGCAGACAGAGGGAGAGATAGTGGTGAAAGTAAACCGTTCGGTCAAAATTATTTTTCGTTCCATTTTATCGAGTGGAACACAGTTCATTGTGGACAAAAATGCCTTGGTATTTCGGTGTGCGTGTCTCACGTGATCGTAGATTCCTTCCATCAGTATTAACTGTTAATTTTGAGACAGAAGATCTAATATTTTGTACTTTGGATAGATCAAAAGCCAAAAATTTACTTTTAATTATTTGGGGACCAAAAGTTCATCCGACCAATAGTTTGAGGGTCACTGAGACTCTTTGCCCTAATATCTATGCCATACTAGTAAATTAAAGATATAGCTAATCAACCTCAAACTCACTCTTAATAGGGCCGGGGGCATGCGTTTGTGAGTAAGATTAAGCGCTCCAGAGAATATTTGCTTAATTCAGATCAGACCTCAGAGAGACAGTTGCAGGCAGGAGGATATGATATGGGAGTTAAAGCTTGCATGTTATGCAGGATGATGCATAGTTTTGAAGCAAATATAAGACGGCTGAGAAGATTAAGATCACCACCTGCTCTAACGCCAAGAGGTTATATTAATTCCAGTTTCAGTGGGTATGAATGGTGAAGCGCAGCTTTTTCTTGGAGTTGTTGTGTAGATCAGCTGAGGAGTACGGATTCAATAATCAAGGAGTTGTTGTGAATTAACCAAAAAATAATAGGCAAATGATACTTACACTCTAAAAAAAAGTTTCTAGTACTCCGCTCTTACTTATTATTATTGAAAATAACATAAATACCTATCCATTACATTCTTTGACAAATTAAATGACAAAATTGCCCTCAATGCATAATTTAATGACCATTTTGTATTATTTTTGTGGAGACTTTTACAGTCTTGATGACAAAGTCTTAAATATTAGAAAAGAAAAAAGGAAAAGTATGAAATTGTTTGAAGTTATAGAAATTAACATAAAAAATAATGAACAAACTAAAAAAGCAATAAGCAACTCACAAAATCTAGTATTTTAGTCGAGGATTACCAAACTGTTCATAATTGAACGGTCTTTTTATTTCTTCCATCATTTGTTGTACAATAATTTAACATTAAGTTAAGAGAGAGGAGAACTAAGTGGGTTAAAGAGACAAAATAGAGAGAGAGAGTGATGAATTCATGGAGGGGCAAATTCGTCTCATAAAATATTTCATAAGTTATAATTATTGCGTCATTTCATTAAGCAAAAAAGAACGGTGCAGTGTAAGGAGTCAGCAGAGATTTTTTATTATTATTTTTTGAGCACAGATCATTTGTTTGTTTGACATATAAAAAAGGTTATTGATAGTCATTGCTTGGCTACCAAATTTTGAAACGTGGACGCACAAAGGTTGCTGATAGTGATGGCCCCAATCCAAGTGTCCCTCCGATGCCGATACTCTGCAATGAGTCGGGAGACTTCTAGACTTTTTCAGCGCTGCCCTCTCGAACTTTCCTCCATTCCCCTTAATTACTCCTCCAAGCTCCAGACCAGCTACTCCTCCATGGTTCTAAAGCAACTTGGCTTCGTGCAAATCAATTACACTTCTTAGAAGTAGCAGCCTTCATTCATTCGGTTTCTGGGCAGCTTGGTTCGAAGGCATCACAGCACAACATGAGCACTGTGGTGGAAGCAATAAATCATCTTTTCAATTTCCCAGAAACCCTAGACAAATTCATGCTCAATTCGTCTTCCCGGGCAGGGGAAGGGGCTGGCAGTGTTGCCAATGACAGCAGGGGAGGAGTAGGTTCCCTCCCAGCAGTTGACATTCTTGATTCGCCCAAGGCTTACGTCTTCTACGTGGATGTTCCTGGCTTGTCCAAGTCTGACATTCAGGTAATAATACGACATCCCCAATTATGCCACTACTACTACTACTACTACTACTACTACTACTACTACTACTGTTCTCAGGCCAATAAGACAGCTACATACTAATGAAGTAGTATGCTGGCTGACAATGTATTTGTCTTTGGGAGCAGGTGACTTTGGAAGATGAGAACACATTGGTGATCCGGAGTAATGGGAAGAGGAAGCGTGAAGATGGCGAAGAGGAAGGCTGCAAGTACATAAGGTTGGAGAGGAGTGCACCCCAGAAGTTGTCGAGGAAGTTCAGATTACCCGACAATGCTAATGCGTCTGCCATTTCTGCCAACTGTGAAAATGGGGTCTTGACCGTGGCTGTGGAGAAGCTGCCTCCTCCACCCAAGTCCAAGACCGTTCAAGTTGCTATTTCCTAGGCGGTGCCTGTGTCCACGGTAACATCAACTTGCTGCTAACGATGGCGATTTCTGAGTGTCTGGGCTGTACTCTTGCTCCTCCAATGAAGTTACGAGGCCCTTTTTTTTTTTTTTGGGGATTCGCTAGTTCGATGTACTGAACATAGCAGGCAGTAGTAAATTTGCCTTGAACGCTTTAAAAGTGCTTTGATTTATCTGGACCCTTTGGAAGAGGATTTAAGGGGCTTATACTTGCCTCGTTTCCATAACTCTCTTACCTCGAGCTTATTTTATTTGATATCATTGCCGTCTTTTGTACCAAAAATGAATGCTTTAGAAGTTTGCTCCTCATCTCATTTCTTGCCGACCCAATCAAAATTACCACTGGATTATGCATCTGTTTCTTTTCATTTCTCTCGTTGTGATACAGTACCACAATGGAAAATATACAACTCAGCAGGACGACCACTGCGGCTATAGCAAAATTTCAAGGGAACAAACCCCATTACACATGGCAATACGTAAGAAAGCTCAACGACAACATTTGCAAAGATCTGCAAAACATGTTAGACCGACCCCTCACTTGGACGTCCTCCTTTTCTTCTTGGTGCTTACATGCTTCTTCTGATTGGGAACCTCTGTTTCTGGACTTCCGTCATTGATGATGAGATGCTCATATTCTTCCATGCTTGCAAAAGGCGATGCCGAAGCATTCCTACGTGATTTTGATTTTCCTCTCCTCCTCCTCTCGTCGAAGCTGTCCTCATCACTACACCCATCATCTGCTTCTCCTAATCCTACCTCAACACCATCATCATCTTCCCAGCCGCTGATCTCAGAACCCTCGAGTTCACCACCAGCAACATGAGAAGGGAGATCCGGCTCCCCATCACTTACCTGACCAATTAGCTCATCATCATCTTCATTGGCTATGTTGTCCAAATCATCGTAATCATACTCTCCATCATTTTCCAAAGGAGGATTTGATGAATCCAACATGTTCTCAATCGCTTCATTGTCGCTTTCATCATCTTCACCATCAACGGCGTACAACTCTTCAGCAGTTTCGTCCTCTGCTCCTTTCTTCTTCTTCTTCTTCTTTTTCGGTTTATTGGAGGAATGCATCTTGTTGGTGTAGAACCTATGGAACACAAGATCCTCCGGAGGCACATCACTTTCTGCCAGTGAGAGAATTTCAGGTCCAATCAACAGGTTGTTCGTGTCAAGCTGCAGGACAAAGAATAACAGCGTTGGGCAGAAAAATCTCCACAATGTAGCATGCCATGCCTCCAGAGCAAAGACCAATTGAGCTAGTAATATAGAATTGACAACTGACCTTTTTAGTAGGTTCAATTTCGGAGGCACCATGCCATGTGCTCTGTTTTGGTTTCTTTTCAATGAACTTGTCCAGAAAGGCGGTAAGTGAAAGATCACTAAGAGGGTTGCCATTGTAAACAATGTTGGCCCCAGAAAGAAGTGTGTTGGCCATGGTAGCAACAGATGGGTGCACGTGTGATGCCAATACTCTCAACTCCCACCAACTAGCACGATCTGCATTACTGTCAAGCCAAAAAGCAGATCATCATTGAAAAGTGATTTTGAAAAGCGTATGCTGTTGTTCTGCAGAATATAATAAGAATAAATATAAATGGCCGAATTGGCATATTTTATGCCAGTTACATTTACTCAAGAAACAGAGAATCAAAATAGCTTCAAAATACAGCAGATCCAACTTAAACAGGAGGGCATCCAAAGTTAAGCAACAAAACACGCTTTAAGTACCAGTATAAAGGTTCCCTGTGTCGTGGGCTGTAACCTCCAGGGGAAGTGGTCCTAATAGTTGTCACTTCAGACGCAAGCCCACTACCATCAGCCATTGGCTTGGAACCCTGAAGTTGACGTTGACCACCTTCCAGAAGTAGATCATTTGCATCATCTGAAACCTTGCCTTCAGAATCAGAAGGTGCAGAGCCATCTTCACTGGGTAAGGCATCAGAATCCATGTCAATATTAGCACCACCCTGAGCATTAGCTGATTCAACCATTTCATTTTGTTTTGGATTGGCTGCATATTCATCGTCCTCCGGCACGTCTTCAAAATGCTCAAAGTCCTCATCAATCAACTCATTCTGAAGCACTATATTCCTGCATGATAAAGTTATATCTTCAACTTTGGGAACTATAAAGTGGGGTACTAAGAAGCATACAAAACTAGGTAAAAACAAGTAGAATATTTATTTTCTTTACAGAAGGCAGAAGAATATCGTGTATGTGTAGCCATACCAAAGGGGCGGTCTTGCTTTAAGAACTTCAGAGAGGAGGAAAAGACATCCACATGCATATTGAGGTGGCTGCTGAAGAGCAACCTATAGAACGGTCACAATATATACTCAATTATGAGTTGCAGAAGGCAGAGTAATCCAAATAGTTCTCAACTTAAGATTCCTCGAGGTCAAGGATTCCCTTGACAATTATTTACTTAACGAACTAAATTGAGTCAAAAACCACAAGCAAATAAAAAATCAACGCTGTCACAAACCTGTAACAAACGCTTAGAGAAAGCAGCAATCCTCCTTAGATTGATGTCATTTTTCATCGCCCTTAGAAGTAGCCCAATAAACATTTCCTCCTGAAGATTAACACATTGAATGCATATCATAGTCAAGAAGTGGTACAATTAGGACCCTCTCCAACAAATCTACACGAGTAAAGAAAGCACTCAAGAGCAAATGAGGAAATATTTTCAAAAAGCCAATTGATCATGCTGAAATTATGTTCCAGATAGAAGTGGAACTAGAAAACACAACACTTGCAAGGCAAAGTGTCAAATAATAATCCAAAACAGGCTGATTTGCAAGCTTGCATTTCAATAGAAGATAAGACAGCAGCAGCAAGCCAACCAGAAGAAAAGACAACAAGAATTCAGTTTTTATGTCCAAGGGAAAAGTCCAGTAATCAGATACAATATCTGATACTGGAGGGAAGAGGGAAACTATAAAAGACAGCAATAGTTTACATTTAGAAACAATGTCCAGTGTAGTATTTGTGCTCAGGTACATGCAATCATACTCTACAAACAATTCATTGGTGGAAAGTGAAGTTCAAATAACTGCTCCTAGGTGCTGCAACTACTAGTTCCTTTGCCCTGTACACAATGCATTCTCTTGGAAGCCTTTTGACAAAAATTCTCTATAGTCCTAATTATAAGCTCATAGAAATCCGTATCAATAATCAGACCACATGCATTAAGCAATTTTGCTGTTCATCACAGAATGTGTGAGAGGGAAGACTATCAGTCCGAACAAGTCAGACATTTAGAACAATTAAACAAAACAGCATACCCATCATTTTGCTTTCTCATCTCACGTCATTTCATGTCTAAATGGTTTAAACAATTGGAACATTGAGGAATTATAGTACACTTGACACACCACAAAAGCATCACTTCAGAAAGCGTTGAAACACAAACATAACAAATAAACTGGCAGAAACTATCTAAGAACTACTACAACTCAACTCACCTTTGAAGAGTTCATGGCAGCTGGTAGCAAGAGTTTTGAATATAAGGCTCGGTAGAATCTATCACTAACAATTTGATTTCTGGTAGTGATCTTGTCAAGAAGCATTAATGCTTGAACTCCCACATTAAAGCTCCTAGAATGAACCTAAAAAGGGCAAACAAATTTTTGAAAGGAGGAACACCACATTATACTATCTGCATAAAATTTTCATTCTTTCTGGGCAATTAGGAACTAAGCTTACCAGCTGAAATAAGATTGGCGTCTGGGTTTCAATAATCTTGTCAGATTCATCGCTAGAAACAAAAGGAAACGCTCTATTCACACCCTGCAATGGAAGAAAGAGAACTTATACGAAGTGCCCAAAGTATCTTTCAACACCATATAAGGAGATAACCACAAGCAGCATGATGAACTGGTATAATAATTATCTGCAAGCACGCTGGTTCAGACAAATCCCGTACCACTTGATTAATCACACCCACATTTTAACACATAGGTATGTTTAATTTAGTGCCCGCTTCATCACCAATTCTCAATAACACTTTCCCAACTACTTCAATTCACTTTCAAGTTGGATCCTTTAGTCACAAAACACAGCACCAACTTGGAAGAATTAGTTCAAAAAAATTATATAGAGAAAAGTTGATTCTTCATAACAAACATATACTAAATAAAGTGTAGAATCTTTTTCTTCGTACTTGAGAAAGAGCAAAACATTAGTTAGGAGCAACCTGCAAAACATTCACTGTCTTTGAACTAATCTAAGGCAACTTAGTTGAAGCAAGGTGTGTAAGGAGGGAAAAACAAGAAACAGTGCCAGAATTCTACATAAGATAATTACATGGTAAGTGCCAAAACTTAGAAGCATTTATAAAGAGTACACCTAAATTTGTACAATAGCTTACCACAAATATTAGCATTTTCTTACTCTATGGCTTTCAAAAGATAAAAAGGAGTTGAAACTTCTAGCTGATACTACATGATCCCAGAAAAAAGTACAAATCCAACTTTAGCAGTTTCTTCTACTTACATGTTTGCAATCATCAAATAATAAAGAAGAGAGAAATTAATCTATACTAACTGTTAAAAGAGCTGTTAATAACCGGGAATCCATCTCAACATGAGATTCTGGCGGAGCATTCTTTGGATTACATTTTGAACTAGAAATTTTTCTAGTTTTTTCTTTACTGCATTTGTCCGTCCCATGCTCCCTATTGGCATCAGAAATCAATACCTGAAACAGAGACTTGCATATTAACTTGTTGCACAAGACTAACATGTCTTACATGTTAATTGACTACAACTTTGAAATCCTTAACTTCATAAAAGAAAACAAGCACAACACTTTTTTTCCATACCTTAAATAGTGCAAAATACACCTCGATCAAACGCTTTGCCACTTTCGGCCCATCTCCCTTGTGACTTAAACGAATTTGGCTTAAGAAGTTAACCTGTACACGGACAGCATTAGATAAATGAAGTTCACTCAGAAACACAAATATAAACAAATGCAGCAGAGAAACACTATACTTGAACACTGAAGCTAAAACGTCTAGCATACTGAAATAAAACATCTACGAATGGCATACTGAAAGTAGTGTATGATACACTCCTAAAGCACTAGTAACCTGAAATGTGAAAGCAAATAGCATAGATATTATACTGTGTACAAAAAAAGGGACTATTATTAAAGACTTTTGGTCAACTAACTGACAAACATTGGACATGAAACCATAAACTAAAGATATCAGCTAATGTATAATAAGAATAAAGGCCCAAGTATTATTGACATCAAATCAGTCAAGATTGAATAAATAAACTGAAGCTATGAAAGTATAACTAAAATACACCAAAAAGAGATTATCTGAGACAAACTTATTATGTTACTCATGGCACAATATCCAATCCACGCATAACAGAAATCGTAGATTTGAATTTTCTCGCAAATCATGTAGATAAAATGAAGTATATGGGCAATTGTCTCAGTAAACATAAAGCAAAGACCTCAAAAGAAATTAAAAGAATAAAGAGCATTTGGGACATACAGCATAAAATTTGGCTTGTAACCCAAGATGAGGCCGGAAAAGAAAATTGTCCACTTCATCAATAACCACAGCCTGTTACAATTGATAAGATGTTCCATGAGTTTCGAATAGCAAATTAGAAAAGTCAAATAAACCAGTTTAATAAAAGCGTCAACATAGTACATCAAATCCCAAGACCAAAACTGAGGCAGTTAAATATATATATATATATATTTTTTTTTTTTTTGCACATGGTTTGCTCAATTTTAGAACCCAGGATGTTATACAAGGGGGAGAGACAGACAACAGAAACATATATTAGAATAGCAAAACAGATGTTAAATTAAGAAAGAAGCTGAAAGTGTCAATACAATGATCACCTTCATGCTTGGATGGTCCGCTAAAAGCTTTGACAGATGAAAATCAGCATTGGATGCAGCTTTCTTTCCAGGATCACCCAGCTGAATTCAAGCCAAAAAACTAGAGAAGGTTATCTCAAGAGGGTATACACACTTGAAATGCTATGAACATGAGATAAGAGATGTTTATTTCGGGTGATTTTAAGGAAGAGAGAACAAAGAGGACATACTTTATTCACTAATGCAGAAAGCAAACGACGCTCTTGCTCTGGTTTGCTCTTCAACAGAGTATAGATGGTCTGTCAAAATAGTAACACAATACAGAAAGGTTAACGAAGTCATGCATTATGTTTAGCATGAATGACTCAAAATCACAACACAACACAATCAGCAACAAAATTGCCAGAGAAAACATTGCTGAAATTCCAAAATTTTACATTAAATGTTTCTATAACACTAGCAACAACAGAACATTCTGTTAAAGACTGGAGCTCAAATAGATAACAATTACAAATACATGTGCAATAGAACATTCATAGCAGATATACTATAGAAACAAGCACCTTCAGCGCCTTGTCTTTAAGTATTGCTAAAACATCTCTTGATGCTTCTTCAATGGCAGAAACAAAGCATTCATACCTGTAGTAACAGTAAGATTTGTCTAATCAGCAAAAGTAAGTTTAGCAACTCCAATGGGATTAAGATTAAAAATGAAAAAAAAAAAATTTACTACTGAAGATGTATTAAAATGCTCTCTCTCAGAAACTACTTTAATTGGTCACTAATCGCCCCATGAATCAACCCACAAATTGCTAATGAATAGTCAAGATTTCTGTAGAAGCATGACATATTTAACTCGCCGGTCCTCTTAAAGCAGAGAGTGCGCAAGTCTATACAAAAAATTCTGAACATCTCATCTAATCTAATCATGTTTGACTACACTAAATGGCATATTGGCATACATCAGTAAAGTCAAATTTAGATTGGATTGCCAATTATATAATGCAGCCTCTAGTTCAGTTCTGTTAATAATCTTATATCATCTATGTCGACCCATTACAGCTATCGGTTGAATCTTCAACAGAAAAGAAAGAGACAAAGTCACCAATTAAAAAATCATCTTTAGATTTAACTTATTATCCTGGATAATACAATGTAGACTATGCACAAAGACACAATAGCAAAATACCTTTCTTTTAGGCATTCCTCCCAATACCAAAAAAGTAGAAGAGAGTAGCCATCTTTAGTCTCAGGAAGAAGATTTAAAGGCCGCTGAAATAGTGTCTTTAGCTTACGATCTGGTAACAAGCTGGAAACATAAGTTTAGACATGGTTGAGTGTTATATAAACCCACTAGATTATCAAATTAATATTACACTGAACCGCAGTATGGCCATCCATACATGTGCAACCAATAATATAAATAAGCAAAACTAATAGATCATTATACATTTCCTTTGGCCTACTCTCTTTTCCACAGCTATATATGAATGACAAAAAAGAGACTAGAGGGCAAAGAGAAGGCATTGCTTCTTCACAAAATTAGATATAAAAGTATATTGAATGGAGCTTACCTAGAAACAAAAAGCTCTTTCAGTACTTCAAAAGCTGTCAAGGCATGGCGCTTTCCAATTTTTGAAGTCACCATTCCTGCATATGGTATTTGTTAGCTGTAAATCAAAACATCACAAACTTCAGATAAATGTAGGCATAACTACTATATAAATCATTCCCTTGAAACAGTTTAAGCAACTCAAGGAATTCCAACTGGTAGATCATTGCTAGCTTGGTAGGTAAAGAAGCACATGCTCATTAAGTAATTCAGATGAATTATAATCCTACATGCACTAATGACCTCCCTGTATCAGAAAAATCAGATGACACAATATCTGCAGATTTTGATCTACAATTCCTCAAGAAAAGTATATTTGAATAACCTAAAAACTTAATTCCATAATATGAACTGACAAGGTACAAATATCTCCACCATGATTGCCATATTGATGAAAAACAACTGTAACAGCAGACAAAATGTGAAGCAGTGCACTACTTGGAGCAAAATATACAGCTGTTTCTTTCTTCCTTTTGTCCTCATCTACCTCAATTCAAAGAGAGAGGACTAAGGAGAAAAAAATAGCCAAGATCAAACTTTACTCATTTTTTACCGAACTAAGTTTGCTGCCATTGACTTAATACTCCATCCTATAAACACTTCTCTTCGATTACTGTCATGCCCTTTAGTAAACAAGGACAACTAAGAAAAAGTATACCTTTCTCATCAATGAAAACACACAGAAAATAGAGGGAGATGATAGCAAACTGAAAACTATCCCATTAATCAAACACGCTCCGGGAAAAAATTCACACAAATTCACAGGAAATGTAACCCAAGAGACTGTACCAAGCAATTCAAAACTCAGCCCCTGGTGAAAAAAAAATTACCCAAAAGCACGTCAAGCGATCTGATATTAGCAACCGTGTTATCTCCAACCATAACCGAAAAAGCAGAAACCTTATCCACAGCTGTTCCAGAGCGCTGAGTGGCAATGAGCATCTTAATATCTCCACTTTGGCCTCTGGAAGTCTCATAGTCCCGCGCATATTGAGCCAACAATCTCTCTCCCTGCTCCTTCTTCTTCTCCACCACAGCCTTCCATTCCTCCAAATTCTTAATCTCAACTTTCTTCTTTGCTTCCGGCCCTCCTAACACTTTCTCCTCCAGCTCAGCAGCATCGACGTACCAGACCCCCAGTGCACTTGCTTTCACCAGCGGAAGCTTAGGTAAATTCTTGAACTTCTCGGTGGCAAATTTGGAACCATAATTTTCGAGTTGAAATCCAGGTTTGGGTTTGGGTCTGGAGTCGGATTTGATTCTGTTCGTGTCCGTCACCTGCTGATTGTTTTTGGGTTTGTCCCTCTTGTTCAGCGGTGACCTGTTTCCATTGTGGGGTTTCTGGGGTCGGGGTTTAAGGGGGCCTTTCTTGCGAAAATCAGAATCGTCGAAGCCGGAGGAGGGGGCACCGGAAGTAGAGAGGCCAATGGAAGAAGCGAATGAGGCTACTTCGGATTTGAGGGCGCCTACGTCGTCGTCAGATGTTTTGGCCTTGAATTTTTTGGTCCCCATTTCTTTCATGTGCAGAAACTAGAGAAGCATTCGCCGGACGGAAGGGGCCTTTGGTTAGAGAAATCTTACTAGGGTTTAAGGGCCGTTCCCGTTAGATGAACAAGTCCGAGAGCCCGGTGGTACGAGGTCTAGGTGATCCGATCCAAACCCGGACTTGCCTAACAATAAAATGATAAAATAATGGGCTGCTATGGTTACGTAAGTAAGACTTGCCATTTCACTTTCCTCCTCAAAACTTGTATCGGTTTCTTGCTCTGTACTTAAAACTTTAATTTTTGATAATTTGCACTTTAAACTCTCAAGCTTGTCTTATTTAAATCTAATCAATGATAACTTCAGCAAAATTATCAATATAAAGGGCTTAACAAATCAATAAAAATGTGCCAAAAGTGGGTCAAATATGCCAAGATTTCATAGCAAGAATAAAACAATGCACTGCTGTCGTTAGTTTACACCATCGTTCATCTCATTGATTTTGTTAATAATATTAGTGATCACGATCATATAAAGATACGGTAATGCATTGAAAGTGATGGAAAAAACTAGGGGGATCGCACTCAGAACAAAATATTACATTGTCAACAACTTTTAACTCATTAATTTTGTGAACGTAAGTAATTATTGATTGAATTTAAATGAGACAAATTTAAAAGTAGAGGGTTAAAATTGAAAAATTCAGAGTGCAAAGTGATAAAGTGGCAAAATGTGTTTTAAGTGAAGTTAGTCCTGTTTAAGTATTTTCCTTTTTCCAACTACAGAAATTGAGCTCACGGATCGTGTCCCTGGTTGGTTTGATTGGCTTTAATAAGCTCAAAATTACAGCCCCTTCCAAACAGTACTGAAAAACCGGAATCCAATTCAAGTTTTATCGAGATTGTAAATTTTGTGTTTTTCTAGTCCCGGACGGAGTTAGAATTTAGACATGGAAGTGGCAATAATATATATATTTTTTAATTGTGAATAGAAAACGTTTTTCTTTTTTGCTTTGGCACCTGCAATACCTTATATTTTTCTTAATAATAGACTATACATACGATAACGAAAATGGCAAGTCTCATTTATGAAAAGGAAAATAGTAACAATTGCCTTGTTGTGAAGGCCTAATTCGACAATCTATGGAAATTCCTTAATCATACATTATTATTATTGTGTATTCCAACACTGAACCAAGCATGACTTTCCCTCTTTTATTATTAATAATTATTAAAATATATATAAAAGGACTGAGCCATGTACCGAGAACGATGGCAAGTCTCACAACTTGTGAGGCTTCATTCCCCTATATTTTTTTTTTTTTTACGAGCAGGTGAAACCTTCCGTACTTTAAAGCGCTGCCTATTATTCCATTGACTGCTATACCACATATTTCCCCATTCTCTACATAATTTGCGAGGGCAAATCCAACAAGTAGAGTTCATGCGACTGACCTCAGAAATAGGAAAGCCTGGGCAGAGTCTGCCCAGTGTAGCCCGGTGGGTGCGAAGGTTATTAATGACATTTTTAACTAATGATAATGATGATGATGAATCGAGGATGATGATGATACGTGTGTCTAAAGGTTTAGGCTGCCAGGATCTATGCCTTGACCTTTGGCTGTTCTGCAGTACAAAGACGGCTACCTTTTCTCTGCGGCTTTAAAGCAACCATACTCCACCCTGCACTCTGCCATGAGAAGCCTAGGCGGAATTAAAAAATGCTCACGGATTTCGACCCTAACTTAAGAAGCCAGCAAGCTCAGTCAATTCACCACCACTGAGTTCGGTAAGGAAGGATAGGAGTTCAAAACATTCCTCCTCGCCAAGGCCCTCAATGCAGAAAAGATTAACTTGGAACAAGCTTGTTATTGTAAATCCCACACGAAAAAGAAACATCGCATGGTACTAGCCATCACCCCCCCCCCCTTCTACTAATACAATCAAGGTTTGAGCTCCTCACCCTTGCAATCAATTAGACCTGGAAGCAAATGTTAATCCACATGGCTTCGGAAAATTGTACAGCACAGCACAGTTCTTGAAAGCGTCCTGACTGTTAAAAGTAAAAGGGTCCATAATCTATGCCTTCTTTTGCTACAGATATAAAAACTTGTAAGGGCTAAAAAAGAAATGGAAATATGATACATCCAAAAGTTTCTTACTGAAGCTCCAAACAATACATGTATATTCACAAGAGCACGGACTCTAAAGAATTGTTAGTCTAGTAATGAGGAACTGGGAGCTAAGAGCCCGAAAAGAATTTCGCTTTTTTTTTTTTTTTGCTTTTTTATTCTCTGTGGCCGATGTTGTTCACAGGGGGGATTTTGGCAGACGCATTGCTGCAAATTTACAACCTAAGAGCATCTTCAATTAGTTTATCTACCTTTAACTGAAATTCCGATTTCTTTGCTCTCTCCTAATTTTGATCACCTGATGCTGAAGGAGTATAAGTAATCCACATCCTTCGGATGGGGTGTAATTAAATGGTGATGGCAAATTAACTGCAAGGGACCATGGTTGATCTTCAAGGGAAAAGCATATCCCCGTGGATAACCCAATTGACGAATGACTCCGAAAATTCAGAAACCTCACCAGCACCAGCACCAACACTAACATTACCACCAGTATCTTCCTTCTCCTGAAAAAGGTTAACCAAAAGGTGATGTTGACAAGAAGAAGATTGATGAGATATAACAGAGAGGTTTCTTGTACCCGTTCAGTAATATCATGTAATAAATGACGCAAACCTTGCCTTTACTCCCCTAGAAAAATAAAATAAAGGGCTCGATGTGCTTCACTACTTTTCATAAATAAGTTGCCAAATTTGATTAAACTAATTTGCAGGAGGAATACCGTACCGCCAAATACAATAACAAATAAATTGACTGTATGATAGCAAACCTTGATGCTCAAACTGGATGCATAAGCGGAACAGCTTCTCTCTCCTTTAAACTTGTTTACATCGCAATAGGACGTAAGATCAGCAGACGGAGTGCTGATAAGTGCAGATCTACAAACATTAAATTTACACTGCAACGATGAGCTTATGTGAAATCGTATGGCCAAAACACAATGAAAGGAATGTTACGAACAAGGGAGGCTACTTGAAAAAAGTTTTGGTCAATGAAAAGATAAACATGCAAGACATAAACATGGGAGTAAGATCACTTTGACTATTGCATTAAACAAATAAAGTGCAAAAGAAGAGCGCAACAACGGATATCAAATTCAAGACCACACCAATCATGATTTTTATTAAATCTTAGAGTACGCTTTCAACAACTTAAAAGCCAAAAAAAAAAAAAGAAATGCGATACTTCAAAAAAGAACAAAGAAGGTCAAGCATGCAAACACGATGTATGAGAAAACACTAAAAATGGAGCTAAGGGAGAAAAGGCATATGGGGAAGAGAAGCAACACTTTCGTGCTTCTACTTTTTGCCTGAATATCTTCTCTCACTCTGTAACTAACATAATAGATTCAACTCTCCTTTGAGGTCTACAATGCCCACCAAGGATAAGGATACATAAGCAAAGATGACAATTGCACATTCAGATGATAATAGATACCAACATATATAAAAGAGGTTTTTCTCTTTTACACAAGCATGCATGCTCAAATAGACGTAATCTTCCCGAGTCTTTATGATCCAAAAATTTACCTTTCATAAGACTCTTCTTCAATAGAATTTCCAGAAGAAGAAAGCCAGTCAATGTCAACAAAATTTGAACAATCAAGTGAATCCCCTAGATCATGAAAACATATAGCATCATCTTCGGGGTCCGGTGTCCCAACTGGAAACAGCTTCCTAGAAGACATTGATGGTGTATAACTACAACAAACAAGTGATTAATCAAAATGCTGGCAGGGAAAAAAATTTTGCAACCACACAAATCTCAAGAAATTCTTGTAACTAACACTCATTATAGCTTTCAATAAAACAAAAACAGTTAAAAGCCGATTTGTCAAGATGACGGAAGCTTGAACTAAAATAAAACAGGCCAGAATAGATGCATCAATATTGTCTCCAGTTTTATTGCAAGCTCATGGGATTAATCAATATATACTGAAGCACTAATGGAACGGATAAAGAAGTGCGATTTCATAATTTTGTTTCCCTTAACACATCCATGATAAAGCATGTGAAAAAAATATTTTGCAACATAATAAAAAAGGAAGCAGCCAACATTTAGATAAATATGAGTTACCATATTTGACCTATTTGCATAGCATCACCCCAAATGACATACTGCTACAGCCATAAATGTTTTTTAGAGTTCAAAAGGTTAAAAAACTTTAAATGATGACATGATTTCTACCTAAAAAAGTATACGATTAGCTAGATTTTAAAGCAACATTATACGAAACTTAGAATAACTTGAGTTAAATCAGCATTTCATGATCTTTAACTAAAGCTAAAGTGCTGACCTGGAATATGATATGTTGCTTTTTGAAGTTGAGATTTCTGGAGAGGACTCAGAATGCACAGTATTACCACTTTCTGCTTCGTGAAGCAATATTTTATCACAATCTTGATTCTGTTCAACATTACCATCTTCAATAGGTGAATTGCTTTCAAAGAGAATATTTCCATCTGACAAAGATCTTTTCATTAATAACCTGAGATGGAGAAAATTAAGGAGTTTAAGGTTCACAAAATGTTATCAGACATGGCATGAACAACTTAGTGCTAATAAATTTAAAATCAACACTCTCTTTTTCAACGAACTTGAATGAGCTCTAGGAAACATCTTTATTCATTCTTAATAGTACTACTACTGTCTGGTGTGCAACTTAAAAAGAATCCACACAGGTAAGCTTACTATTACAGAAAAAACAAGTTCTCAATAATCGGACACCCCCACCCATCCACCCACCCCTGGTAGAATAATTTTAAGCGTTAGCCAGAATTAAAAATAATGAACAACGTAGATGCTATCAAGTACCTTACGGGAGTTTAAATGTAAAAAATGCATTTTGTATTCCAAGAAATATAAAGAATTAATTTAGACAAACATTCCTTGATCATACATAAATGAACAATTCATACCTAGAATTTTCACCAACAAAATCGGAGCCATGTCTTCCAACATTGAAATGCTGATCTGAATCCAACTCCCATAGAGCTGGTTTACCCAGCTCTGGCTGGAAATGCCCCAAAAACCTGC